CCCTCAGCCCAGCAGCGCGGCTCGGGAATGCGGAGCAGCACCCCCAAAACTCACTTTTGGGTTTGGTCCTTGCCCTGGTGAGCTTACAAACACAATAGAAGGGATGGGAAGAGGTCCTGCCCGGGGCTAATTCCTCTCTCCCCCGTTTCAAATGCTGGGTCTGTTATGCAGGGCTCAGCTCTGTTTTTCCTGATGTGCTTCACATTGGTGAATCATCCTGCAATAAGCAAACACACCCAGGGCACTCTGCCTTTACTTCCTCCACATGGTTGGCTGACTCCTGATCCTAAGAGCCAAGGACAAAATTTTGCATCTCTCTTGTTTTTGTAGCTGTTTGGAGGAGTATGTAACAAAATCCCTCTCAAAACTTGTTTTGAGGCACTCCAGTTCCCTGCAGCCTGGCCCAGCACCCTCCCCTTGAGTCGTTCCTCATTACTTGAGTCTCATGCTCTGTGTCTTTGCCCCAGAGCAAATGTTCTGCTGAAGGTGGGGAGAGTAGACTCCTTTTTCTGGCTGCTCCCACCATCCACAGCCGTGTGCTCTTGTTTCTCTGCTCTCTGGAGATGAGCCTTGCCCTGCTTGTGCTTGGGGACCTTGGGTGCCCCTGGGTGCTGCTCATGACATCCCAGTTTGGGGACACCAGGTTTTGTCCCTGTGTGGTGCTGAGCCGGGTGCATAGTTCTTGGGAACATTTTATCCTGGAGAGTGGAGGCTGCTCATGAGGATGAGAAATCAAGTGGTTTAGGGATGCTGTGTGCATGTCTGGCTGGGGCTCACCCTGTGAACCCTTTGCTGTGGTGCCTGGGGCTGTGTGATGGCTGCTGCAGCTTTTCTGATCTCCTCTTCCCAGGCTGTGAGCTGACTGCCAGTACCAAATCCTACACATTTCAGGTGGATGAGGAAGATGACTCTGACCACGTTTTGGCCCTGTCTGTGGTAAGAGAAAGAATTAATTATGCTTGTCCTCTCCCATAGTGACCCACAGTCTCACACCCCCTTCCCAGGCTCATTCTCCCTCCCTTGGCTGGGCTGGACCATGGGACTCCCTTGGCTGAGGTCCCACCACTGGCTGTGCTCAGGGCAGGACACAGGGCTGTGTAATTTATCTGTTGTATGGAGGTGCTTGAGTAAAGCCAGTGCTGGCAGGAGGCTGCTCAGCAGAGGAATTCTACAGCCATGGCATGAAGAAAAGTGTTTTTTCCTTGTCTTTGACCTTTTTGGAGCCTCCTGTTAGATGGTCCCCTCCCCACCAGCTGGGTCCCTGGCTTGTTGCTCTCCAAGCCCAGGTAGATTGTGGGGCTTCATTCCTGGCTCTCTCTGTTTTCCATCCTGGGAGATGTCAGCATGGATCAGATCAGCAGAAAATGCCGCCTGGGTGCCATCACTTGAGATGGTTGCAGTGTCCCAGCTAGGAAAGGCACAGAGACATTCCCCCAATGTCAGGGGGACATTGCTAGGGGACCTCCATGCTTTCCCTGTTCTGTGGAGCTGTGCCCTCACACCTTGCATGGCAGCTGGGCTGGCAGCATTGCTGAGGGTTGCTTGTCCCATGGAGAGCCCTGTCTGTGTCCCCTGGGGGAGCAGTAGTTGACGATCTCTGCTCCCACCCAGGTCTGCCTCACAGACGGTGCCAAGGATGAGTGCAACGTGGTGGAGGTCGTTGGGCGAAACCACGAGAACCAGGAGATTGCTGTGCCTGTGGCGAATCTGAAGTTGTCATGCCAGCCCTTGGTAAGAGGTTGTTTTGAAGACTCGGGTAGGGATGGCTACAAGGAACTGGCCATTTCTGGATGTTTGTGGACCTTTCCCCTAGGATCCTAACCATGAGCTGGTCTGCAGCTCACAGGGAAATGGCCTGGGTCCCATGTTTAACTGGGAGAGGTGCTATGCTGGGGACTGCAGGATTTTTGACTCTGCCCCTCACTCAGCTCCCATCTCTGTCTCTTTGCAGCTCAGTCTGGACAACTTCAAGCTGCAGCCTCCAGTGACCTTCCGCCTGGCAGCAGGCTCTGGCCCGGTGCACCTTTCCGGCTGGCACCGGATAGGTGAGGACTCTTGGGTGGGGAAAGGCTTTGGAATAGCGAGGGGTATGGAGGGGTCCCGTCTAGTGTGAACAGTGCCTGGGGAGCCCCTGGAAGATGTACTCAGTGGCCCCTTTGGGCTGGTTCCCCACAGGCTTTCTCCATGCGGGATCCCTTCCCTGCCATAAAGCCTTGCATGGGAAAAGAGGTCTGGATGGACCCACACTGTCCTGTTTTTCAATGGCTGGCTGTCACCATTCCCCTCTGAGACCTTCTTCCAGCTGGCATACGGCTTCTTGCCGCAAGCTGCTGTTTGAACTGCTCTAGTGCTCCTTGGGCTGCTCTGCTCTGGGGTTGTCTTGGGGGCCAGTTGTTTTTGCAAAGACATACGTTGGTGAGTAACAGAGTTATTTGTTCCAGTGCACAGGGAAGATGCTTCCTTTGAGGAGGACGATGACTTGTCTGATGAGGAGGAGGAGCTTCCTCCTATCAAGCCAGCCAAGAAGTAGAGGAGGAAGCAGTAACTTCAGGCAAGGTGAGGGACCAGGCAGCCTCGGAAGAAGGGTAGAAACTGCCCTGCTGCAGGAGGCTGCTGATCTTGGTCTGGTTCTTCCTGCAGGTACTGACTGGGACTTCTCCCTGCGGGCGGCGTTTACCTCAGACACTTCTTGCCAGGACCTCAACGTTTGGTGCTTTGTTTTTACTCTTATTTTTTTCTGTTGTAACTTTCTGGGGAGGAGGGGCTGCTCCCAGCAGTGGGGTGTCTCCTTTCCCATAGCTCTGGGAGGTTGATCCCAGAACTGGGAAGATACTGCTGGTATATCCCTTCTCTTCCATCCCTACCCTGGGAGTCATGCGTGGAGGAGGTAATCCTTTCCCTGTGCCTTTTTGCTGTCCTGGACCTCAGCTCTGTGCAACCCCTCTCCCTGGCTTTGGAATACTCTGTCCTGGCCCCTTCCCCATAAAGCCAGTGGTGGGACAGGCGGTTTTACTGACTCTAGTGTGTTTGCTTTTCTTTACTTGCAATTTGATGGGTTTTATACACTTGAAAGTGTGAAACTGGGGCTCTGTCTTCAATTGCAGTTACGGTTGGGTGGGAGCTCATGGCCTATCTGGGGTTTGGGGGGAGGTTCTGGGTCAATCTACTTTGTAAAGAACTGTTTTTACACTCTTAATAAAGGTCTCATGCATCAGGCCTGGAGGGGGTCACTGCTGGTTGGTGGGTTCCTTCCATGTGCACTTCAGTGGGAGATGGTCCCCTGTGTCCAGTCCCTGACACTTTATTCCTTTGGTGATGCTGCGGAGCTCCAAGGAGGGACCTGGGGGCTTCTGTGTCCCTCATGGGCTCTGCATGCTCGTGCTCCATGCACCAGTTCAGTGCAGCATGCAGGCTACCAAGGGAAGGGGTAGCTGTACAGGGCAGGGACCAGCTCCACGTGTGCTCCCAAAGGTGACCCAGCTTAGCAACACCCCCTTGGTTTGGAATACATTGGCCCTGGTGCTGGGCACTGTCATGGTAAGGTCCTCACTTGACTTGCTCTCAGCCCAGCAGTGTTCTGTGGAGGGGTGACACACCAGTGCCTGCAGGGCATGGGGCGGGTCTGAGCTCAGGCCTTTGCTGGGGAGTTGTGTCCCCCCATGTCTGGGTATCTGGAGAGGGTTTGATCCTTTCTGTGCTTCAGTCAGGTGGCACCTCTCATCCCTGGGGGCTGGTCCTGTCCTTAAATATTTCCCTGTCAGTTTCCATGCATCCCATCTTGCATCCCTTGTAACATTGGGAGCCTATAAGAAAGATGGGGAGAGACTTTTTAGCAGGGCCTAAAGTCACAATCACAAGGGGTGATGGTTTTAAACTTAAAGAGAGATTCAGGCTGGTCATAGGAAAGAATTTTATTATTTATTTTTTTTTTTTATAATGAGGGTGGTTAAACACTGGCACAGGTTGCCCAGAGAGGTGGTGGATGTGCCATCCCCGGAGACATTTAGCACCAGGCTGGATGTGGTTCTGGGCAACCTGATCTAGTTGAAAATCGGGGCATTGAAGATGAGCTGTGAAGGTGCTTTCTATCCCAAACTATTTTATGGTTCTGTAATTCTATGATCCTTGGCCCAGTCCTCCTTGTTTGTGATGCTGGCTGTTGTTCCCGAAAAGCACCATGTACTGTTCTGCCTTGCTGCCTCTGTTGGGACACTTTCTTGGCTGCATGGACTTTAGAGGAAATCCTCCAGGGTGGATCCTCAGCTCGGGCGTGATCCCACCTTGTAAGTGGGGCTATTTCTTTCCTCTGGGACCTGTGCAGCACCTCTCCACCTCCCCACTGTTCCCTTCTGGCCCCAAACTGCTCTTCGACCAGCACGGAGGGAAGAAGCTTTGATGCCCCTTGTCGCACAGGACTGTCACCCCAGCCCTGAGGCGTGGGACACCGCTAGGTGGCAGGCGGGCAGCGCGGCGGGCCCGGGCCAGCGGCGCT